AAATCTGCAAATACATCTCACACTCCCCCCTCCCCCCCAGACTGACAATGCTGCTGTCCAAAGATGCCCCTGTGCTCCTTCATGCGGTAGTAAACTGTGTCCATTATAAAAAAAAATTTAAAAAATCCCCTGCAAGGTAAAGACATAATGTGTGAGTATGCATCGAATGCTAGCACATTATGTAAAACTTGCCTTAAATCAAAGGTAATCTTCACCTGGTCTTCCTTCCGGTTTTGTGAGCTCCAGCCATCTGACTAGCTGGGCCACGAAGATGTCACTCTCGCGCATGCGCACGGGAGTCTTGGGACACGGCATAGTGCTTTTAAGGAACGGCACAGATATGCCGTTCCTTTAGAGTGCAAATGCCGGCTGCAAAAAAAAAATCTAAATATTTCCTAAACGATGCACCTTCAGGAGATATTAATTTTGCCTGCAGGTAAGCTTTATTTTAAGCTTCCTTTAGGTAAAAATATATAAAGTGAGCTTACTACCATTTTCATTCATTTCCTGCCAATATCACTTCCTGCTTATCCAGCATTTTTCTTTATCAGTTAGATGAGTTGTTTACCCTTTAAAAAAAGGAAGCTCAGCTTCTGGCTGAACCTCAACATTAACTATCTTCCAGATGGAGCTAAAAATTTATTTCCCCATATATATGCTATAAAAAATCCCAAAAGTATCCATAGCAACACCATTCCCTACCTAAAACTAGAGAATAGTTTAAATATTTTGCAAGGTGAAAATGGGCAAACAGTGAATGATAAATGGGATGAATAGTACAGTAAAGCACTTTCTCATTGAAGAACAGATGTTGGGGGAATCCTGTTTGATGACGTTTTCACAAGGACAAATCTAGTTTGATTCCATTTTCGACAGGTAGATCTTGTTTGAAATGGACAAAAAACATTGTGATAAATAGAGGGAATGTTAAAAATTGAATCTTTGTTAAAAAAAAAAATGGGTGAATGTTGGGCAAATTTTATGTTGAATCATTGATAAATACACCCTTTAGTATCAAACTACAAGTTTGTTACAAATCCAAATAAATATGTATTATTCATATTCTTCATGATTGTATAACAAAGACAACAAATTTCCCTGCAAACATCAAATCATTCTATAACTCATGTAATACCTAGTTTCATTATTATATTATACATTGTAGGTAGATTATCTTACATTGTGTACTAATAACTGATAAAGGAAGGGGCTTTATAGACCAACAATGATCACAGTGAAATAGGGAATATTTTGAAACTCTCTAGTCCTGCTTGTTCATTCTAATTTTTACTTTTACTTTATAAAAACCCCACTCATAGATTTATAATTCTATATCAGTTTTCACATTCATACATAAACATCGGAATTGGACACTTAGAGCCCATTATTCCTTTCTAGTGTTATGTGATGCATGCAAGAATGCAAATATATTAAAGCTCGTTAGTGCAAAGGCACCATAACACATATTTAATATGTTAGCACATAGCAGTGCTGTTCATTTTAAATGGAACCCCAATGCACAAATGCAACACACATCAGATGCATACGCTTTACAGCACATTCATTTAGATTGGAACTCCACGCAGGTGAGGATATTTCTATTTTATTTTATGCCCTAAAATGTCCATGCTACACATTGTCTATCCAGTTTATCATTTAGATAACGGAAATGCATGTCAATGTGTGGCCCAATGCATTGCACGAGTTCGGAGTGGTCTGAATGGACCCTAACCCTAAATTTGGTAGGTGTTCTAGTTTTCCTTTCTCCCTGCATTACTGTGTAGTGACTGGTGTGCTTTTAAGTGTTGTTTGTTTTGCACATAATATCTTCTCGCTTTTTTAATTTGCTGTCACTTTCTAGTCTGTAATTACACATACAGAGAAAAGTGAGATATACTGCGCCCCGAATAGTGACACAAATACAATCTGACAGATGGCTGCTCTGTGGTTACTGTTCATCACTCACAGAAGTACATTAATATAACTAAAACCGAATCCCTGTGTTCTGGCAGTTTGTGGGGCTTGTGTATTCAGGGTGATGTTACATGCCCATCGGTGCTCTTAGTGAGGTATAAATAATCAATATACATGCTTTTCACACTTTAGACTACAGGCCAGACTTCATTCCCACTCATCCATATGTTGGCACTGTACGTAATTAAAATAATAACTACAAAACAAACCAGACTTATGGATTTATTTTTAAATAAGTCTGTGATATTAAACAGAATACAAATTACCATTGTTTCTGAGATGGCTTTAGCATCAATTCTATATCGGATTATTCTTATATTAAAAATGTTATAAGTACTACAGAATGGTATGATTGGCGTCATATGAACATTGTGACTGGTTATAAAAATATGAGTAAAAAAGCTTCAAGATACTGTGAAAGAACATGGTTTTTTTTTTTCAAAGATAAACCATGTTGTGTAATTTGTCTGCCTAACTATTACAGGTATATGATATTTTTTTAATGAAAAAGACATATTTTATAGTGTTCCCTTGTACCTTAAGAAACACTGGTAGTCCATAGTCATGCTTCAGGTCATGCCTAGTTATCTTCCTACTGTCACCACTGGTCATGGGCAGGTTCTTCTCATAAATGGAGCTGTTGGATAACAATAAGGAGGGGAAAGACTATGGACATGGTCCACATCAGTAAGTTGTAGGTACCATTTTCCTGGCATCTTCTCTGAGCCAGGATGAATGGCACTTGGAAAAACAAAAACCTAGAGTGACATGGGTCTACTGAAAGAAAAATATTGAACAATGTTGGTATTAATGGTTGCTAACTATGAATTAAAACACGGCTCTCCAAAAAAACTCTGCCACTTATCTTAAATTTGCCCTTCCGTGGTACTACTGGAACAAAATTTCTGTGGAAAGGTACGCAGCATTATATATAGCAACACTAAGACCTTATCTCAGAAATTAGGATTAGTAAAGGGGGGTATATGGAATGGGACTGCTTTTTGTCCCAAGGCCTTGAAGAGTTGCAAACACTAAGGGCTCCCCGAATTCAAGGTTGTATCAGAAAACATAATCATCAACAGCTATAGAAATAATTTGGTTAAAGTTGTTTTCAGTAGAGTAGGTATCACAGTTTGCTTTAATGTGGTTCTAATGGTATTTTTTCCTCTAAAACAAAAATTACTTATACGTGCCTGCTGTGTGCAATGCAAGCTGTGCCCAGTCATCTCTGCTGTTTTATGGAGCCGTCCAAATAGGGGAGGAACTTCAATCAATCTCGTATTCCAATCAAAAATGGTCCCCGCAATAACCAGACCTCGATATGAATTTAGAAATGGATTAACCAAGCCTCGGTTTCAATTTAAAAATGGCCCCTAATCATCCAAACCTCAGTCTGGAATAGCAAAACGTCCAATATGGCCGCCGATATTTATCAGCATATGCATAACTATATTAAAAAAAAATATTAAATCGCTATATTTATAAAAAAATAATTTATAATCTAGAACTGAATGTTACTGCAGCTCATCATTAAAAAATAAATATAAACTGCATAACAGTCTAAAAGACTATATTAAAAGATATTTACAATTATATATACAATAACCCAGTTTGGACGGATCCATATAAAATACCCTAACAAATAATATCTAGAATGATAATACATGATATTGCAACAGTGACATAATTAAGCATTGCTAATGAACAAATAAATATCCCACTCAACATTCATTCCGTGAGGGAAAAATATTTGAGCTCATAGATCCAACATGTCTCTAACTAAGACACCCACCTTTTAGAAGACCCCCCACCATAATGCCACATATTTATCTATAGCTATAAAGAAAGTCCCCCTTACATCTTTGTTATAATAAAGAACATAATGTTTGTCCTCTACCTTTACGGTCTAATTGAATGCACACATTGGAGACACATAAGTGATAGTCTGAAAAGATCCTTTCCGCTTATTATGATTGTCCAGCATCTTTCCCCTGCTTGAGAGTTATGGTGGATATACATCTTCAGGCCATTACATTCATGCGTTTATGACTTTTATTAGTTTAAGGGTCCACATGTTCCGATAAGAGTCCTACCATTACTTGGTGGTGGTGCACTTGGTTTACTTGAAGATACGTGGTGTTTGATTACACAATAACAGAACATTGGAACTTTATTCACGATTTCTCAATTTGGACTTGATTATATGTTGTTATTTTCATTCATACAGTTTTCATTATTTATGTATTTATTCTGACAACAAAGATGGTGTACAACGGCAATTTATTAATGCTTATTTGATCTGATTGTTTTGCCAGCAGCTTTTTTTAATTTTTTACTTTTTGTGCAACTTTTTTGCTACTTTTTTCAGCTTTTCGGCCTACAATGTGCTTTGTAACGTGTGCAAAAATGGAGAAGAAAATGCAGTGAAAGGGTGTTTAAACTCTTTGTTCACTAAAATTTATTATAGGTTAACTAAGGTGACATGGCGTTTTAGGGGACATTCATCATAAACTTGATACTTGCCAAGGTTCAGAAACTTTTTATTTCAGGTGTGTGTGTCTATAAATATTATATTATTAATTCAAATATAAAATGTAGAACATGCTCGTTTTGATGTCAGTCTATGAGAGACGAGACTCATTTGGCCTATATTCTCCTAACTCATATGTCATTTTAAAGTATGCTAGTTTTAATTTACAGATAAAACACCAAGACCTACTTTCAGCAAATGGTGCTATGCTTTAGTTTAATTCCCATTAGCATAAGTGGAAGATAAGGAATAAAATCTCTTTGCTGCCTTTGATAAATGTGGGCCTTAGAGTCCTCATTATACAAAATACTAATTTAAGTACACGAACGCTAACACCAAACATTAATAAGAAAATCTAAGTGGGATGTAAACATTTCAGAACATTGTGTGTTATAGTTTGCTTGTCTTTCTATCGTGCCAGGAAGATGAGGTCATGCCGGCCAAGTTTGATGAGAATTCTCTTATCTGGGTGGCTGCAGACCAGCCCGTGAAGGATAACAGCTTCCTGAGCTCAAAGATCCTGGAACTGTGTGCCGATCTTCCCATCTTCTGGCTTCGACCTACATATCCCAAAGGTGGGTTTTCTATAAATAGAAAGTGGAGAGTTTAAAAGGGTTTACCCAAAAGTGCTGCTTATGGTAAAAATCAGCATCAACACTTTTTAACAAGGAAATTGAAAATATCTGGAAAATTAAAACTAATGTATTGTGTGTTATTGTTCATGGCATGACTCATTATGAACAATAAAATGTAAAAACAACAAAAATTCTGCACTCACTTTTTTTTTATCTAACCCTCCTACCCAGTAGCAACTGTATAACTATGCTAACTGGATATTAATAAAAAAGTGACGTAGCTACAGTGCTTACCATAAATCAATAACATAAATACATGATCCCCAAACCAAAAAAACTCAAAATAATAAATAATAGCTAAACAAGCAAATTAAAAGTGCAATTTCATATAAATCATACATATTATATACAATAATCAATACATCATGTGTAAAAATGCATAAGCCATATTAGTATTCATTTGATATATTCCACATAAAAAAGTGAGAACTGCAGATTTTCACTCTCGATATAAAGTGTTAGCCTTTCATCACCTCCAGCATGCACCCCAGTGACTCAAATCACCCACCAGATTACAACATTTTTACAGGCCATGTGATAGCATGTGGGCAAGAAAGGCTTTAACTTTTGAGGGAATATTAATTGCTATAATAAACCTCCAAAAATGAGATGTATACATCCGACGACCAAAGTGTCTTTAATGTCTCTACTGCCCAATGATATTCGGCTGTATGCCAACTTCAAGAGTATTGTCCACCATTAGAGTATAAAAAATACTCTAATGGTGGACGATACTCTTGAAGTTGGCATACAGCCGAATATCATTGGGCAGTAGAGACATTAAAGACACTTTGATTGTTGGATGTATACATCTCATTTTTGGAGGTTTATGGTGATACCATCTTGATACCCTTCCTTGATGTCTATTTTACTATCAAGTAGTTTTTGAGCCATATCACTTGTCAATATAAGGACATTGATCCTGAAGAAGTGAGAATATCGTAAAACGTGTTGGTCCACTACACCATCTTGGAACAGAAAACATGTCTGTCATACTTTAATATGATATGGCAACTAATTTTTGTGCTTTTAACTATGTTTTGACTATATATAAAGTCATTTATATTTTATCTATTATGTGGTATATGTCCTCTTTAAGGCACATCTAAAGTCCCAATTCATCCTTTCCACTCTCCTTTAGTGTTTTGCATATAAGGGATGGTGCTATAAGAGGGAGTACCTTGGATGGTTCCACCCATGGTTTAAGTTTGAATACTTCACCAACCAGATTAATTTGACCCCTTAAAAAAACGCATTAAATAATGATGCCAAAAATAACTAAATAATGATGCCAATTTATCAGGCTGCAAAGGTCCTCCCGGCTCCTTAAGTATTTCTCCATGGTCCCATTAAGAAGAGCACGAAAAATTTACAAAGTCATACAGATTGTTTGTTTCTTTAGAAAGAAGCCCTTAACCTGCCAGCATGCTGTAGAGAATGAGTCTTGCTCATTCTGTGAAAGCAGTGGTCCCTCTGCAGAGGTCCAACCCTGCATTCACTATATCTGGTCTCCCACAGTACACAGAACATGGAAATGCAATTATTTTAGTAACTATAAACTGCTAAATACCTTTTCTCATCAGCAGTTAGAGCAGTCTTGTGCCTTCTCTCAGTGTCCAGCAGAAGACTGGTTAAAGCTTGTAGGGGGAGTTTTCATTCTCCACTCAATATCCTATGAGACTGCAGGACCCCTGACCCTTTGTCTGGGCAATGCTGATTGGCCCTGTGCTCATCACATGCACTCTCCCAAGACAAAAAACTCTTTAGCTATGCACACCAAACTGAGCATGTGCACATTGCCACTTTGCTCTGTTTTATCAGGAGATGGATTGGGGACAGTGGAAGAAGGCGGAGGATCAGAGAAGTCAGGATTAAACATCCATTTTACACAATACAAAGGATTAACCCTTTAAGTTCCACAGTGACTATAACAACCATTTACTGCATTCAGTTTGATTTTGCTGTTGTGGGTTTAGTGGGTAATACTTTAAGAAAATGAACTGTAAGGCTTTGTACACCTTTTTGTTTTGATGCACCTGAAAACTATTGGAATGTTTTTAGCTGATTTAGGCAACTGATTTACGCAACTTTCACACTTACCTGCATGATAAAATACAGCCTTTTACCTGTGCAGACTAGTGTCAGTGTCAGCTGTGGTATGGAGCAGTGCGTCACACTGCTGACTTGTTTTTTTTTTAATCCTTTATTATTTATCTATTTTATAAACTTTACCTGTTACATGGGTACATCTCATGCATGTCCCTGCACAACAGCATGGTGCATTGTGCTTCTGTGCGATGACATACAGTGCCATCCAGTGTGCTGCAGAAAAATACAAACATGCTGCAATTGTTTTCTATGTGACCTAATGGTGAACTGCGTTTATCCAGTGCATTAATCCAGGTCATAGTGTAAATGAGCCCTAAAACAAAGTTCAATTGGGCTTTTATATCAATGAAAGATTCACTCTAATTGGTTCTTAAGAATTACATGACACATCTCACTAATAGTATAGAGGACACATTGTTGATGTCAATATACTGTATGTGCTTTTTGAGGAACATCTCATTTACTTCACATATTTTTAGAGAGTCAAAGAGGTAAAAGAGATGTTGGAAGAAGAGCAAGACAAGCTCAGCACATCAACTTGGACCAGTTTGAAGCTGCGGCAGAGGAAGTAAACACAAGGCGCCAGGGGAACCGACGAGCTAAGCCAGCCAATGAAACACAACCGCCTGCTGAAAGAGAAGTTCCCTTCAACCCCGAGAACCCCATACCATGTAAGTTCACCTAGTGATAAACCGCACTAGAGATATACATTTTTAAATATTTTGGATAGAGCAAAGCTGACAAAGTGTTCCCACACATGTGATTCTAAGTCTGATCAGCTGCTCAAATTTAAGTCTTCTTCCTCCAGTCTGTTATAAAAAGCAATAGTAATTTTAGCTATAACTGTTAGAGGATTCTGCCACTTAGTGTAAATTTAGCAGGAGAGCCCAAGAACCTCACATCTCAGATCCAACCTTTTCCCGAGTCTCACACTGCAATACTAATGCCTCGTTCATATGGACATCAAAGCCATGAACATGCTGGGTTTTTATGAGTGTCTGTAGACTCCAGGTCCTGCTTGCAGGCAGCCCATTGAAGTCCATTAGGGCGCAGTGGCTGCACAGACATAGCCGCTTGTCCTAATAAGATAAGTGAACAGGTGAGTGGCCCCGAACGCACACTGTCTGCTGAAAACAACATTCTTTTCACTGTATACAGAGCTCAGCGCCTCTTTGAATGAAGTCCAACAGTTCCCCCAGCACAGACATTGTTTACTTAATATTGACTATGGTGGAGACATTCTTTACCTTTACCTTCAGTGTCAACATCTCCAACACACATTGTTCTCCAAGCAAACTCCACCACATCTGTAGTAGCTTCTTGTCCAGTTCTCTTCTCATTTTCTGCATGCTTTTCAACTCTCCACACTCTATTCTTTTGTTATCAATTCTATATTTATCCTAAAATACAAAATATGGTACAGAAGTTGTACGTGACAGTGAAAGCAAAAGGAACCTTCTGAAGCTCTTAAATGTAGTGCCTTGCGCACAGTACCATCAGAACAGAAAAGGTTTCTGCCTCCCTTCTAAATGGAATCTGAAGTCATACATATGCCTGGCCCCACACAGCCATACAGGCTAAATAAAGGAGATTCAGGTGACACACACAAACCTCCACACCATTTGAATTATCATAGGAAGTGGAGCACCCGTAATCCAGACCATGTTTTCTGGCAGCTCCTCCCAGCTCTCTGACAACTATTCCCTTACTGCCTTCAGTATTTATTCTTGCAACTCTCTGCAATTTTCACACTAAAGCGGACACGATTTTCATTCAAATGTTCACAGAAAAATAATTTGTCAGAACATTCTTTCTTGTTATTAAATTGAATCAACTAACTTTGTTCAGACCTGATGCTTGAATGGAATTCCAGATGAATTAAGCAGGTTTCATTACAATATGTACGGACTATTACATTCACAATTGTAAATTATTTGGGTACATAATAAATGGGACTTTAAATATACCTCTGGAATTCACAAATAAATTGACATTTACTATATATGTATATAAAATTACAAAATGTTTATTTCATTAGTTACATAAGTTAAATTACAATGCACATAAATAATTTTTCCTGAATGTATTATGCGTCAAATGATGTAGGTCTACGCGTTTCATGGTTACGCCCGCTTTCTCAGTACCCAAACAGTTTAGTAAGAGAAAGTGCGGTTTTACATATTGTATAAAAAAATATTCTGAAAAAAAGAAAAGAACTATAAATCAATCATGTCCAGTTTGCTGAACTGGCTGAATTTTGCTGCACATCTGGGGGGTTTAAGTCTTGCGGCTGCCCCTTGTCAGGTCTTTGTTTTCCAATGTTCTGGCATTCTGTCTTCCCCATTCCCCACTATACTTTCTAAGGTATGTTGTCTTTGAATAATGTCCTGACTGCTCCTTGGCTGTCATTGTGGAGACAAACTCCAAAGAAGTACTAATCCCAGCCCCTTCCCATTAATTCCCAGCCCTTGTTATGGATGTATTATGGTCCCAGCCCATGATTAGTACCACCTGTGCATCTTCTCCCAGTGAGACACAATCAGCCTCCAACTCTCTCTCTCCTCCAAACCTTAGCAACAATTTCTTTTTTGCCTCTTGTCTCCCTGTTCATGATCAATTACTGCTCTGCTCCCACAGCAATAATCTTCTTTTCTTCTGCCCACCAACTATTCTCAGCCCCACTCTTGCTATTGCACCAGTGGACCATGATCAGTTCATGCTTAGCCTGCTCTATCCACTGTCCACAATCAGATCCAACTAAATCTCTCTATTCCTTTAATTTATGACTGACAATTCTGCTTTCTCTTTCTCTCACTTTCCCCTGTATTATTGGCTCATGCTGTGCTTCCTCAAACTCCTGTCCCTGGGCATTTTATTCTGCCTTCTCAGCCTTCATTCCCCATCAGTTTACACTGTGCATCCTATGTAGCTCTCAGTACATGTCCAGCCACTATTTTGCCTCCTCATTGTGTCTCTTTCCCCCATGATTAGTGGCAAACCTGGCCAAATAATACATGCATACTACTGTGTTTGTGAACCAATTAGTTACATTGAAGGACATTTTTGTCAAAAGTAACAGGTAACCTTATCCAAATTTTGGACTTGCTAATTCTTCATCGGCTGTCTGTATTTCTTTAGAAATATTACAACACTTTGATCCTTTTTAAAACTACACCTTCCAGCATTCCATAATAAGACAAGTTATAACCAAGCAACGATGGCATCTGCACCCAGCTTCTTTATAGTGTCGTTTATATGTGTGTGCATGTCATCTTACCTTGTACCCTTACAATCTTCACATCAATCCAACACTGCCTTTTACAAGAAAAAATATATATCATTGTTACTGTGTCTCAAGAACAGAAAGGATCTTTTGTTATGACCTTTTCTTCTGCAAAGGAACTGCAGATGCAATGAGCTTTCCTTTAAACTGGTAGAATACATGGTAAATTTAACATTTTCCCCTAATTTGCATATCATGCAAACAGCGAGTAAATGTAAGAAGCTGAGGCAAACATAAACAGCATACCTCCAGTATAGAGGGTGTCTGTCTGTCCGTCTGTCCGTCCGTCCGGTGGCTAAATGGTTAGCAGTTCCGCCTGGCAGTACTAGGGTCGTTGGTTCGAATCCCAGCCATGATGGTAAGTTAATTGGCTCTGTCTAAATTGGCCCTAGTATATGTATGAATGTAAGTTAGGGACCTTAGATTGTACGCCCCTTGAGGGTTAAGGACTGATGTGAATGTAAAATATATATGTAAAAGCACTGCGTAAATTGACAGTGCTATATAAGTACCCTAAATAAATAAATAAATATATATATTGCATTCAAAAAAAGGTTTAAGTTCCCCCTGCGCTTAACATATATTACTACTTAATATGGTATATGAACGCACAAGCAGCTATCACCTTAACCTATACCAATGGCGTAAACAATTTTATAAATACAAATGGTGAAGCGCTATAAATAAATAACAGTAAATAAATTATGCTTCAAAGTGCTACATAAGTGACATTCCAAAGTGACAATGTGCAAAAAAACTGGTCCCACAAGTGGACCTATATATAGTGCAGATGAACCCCCACACAAAATAGGAGTAATATAAGTGATAAAATAAATAAAATCACTCCAATTAATAAGTGCTATAAATATCTAATAACAAATTGATTGATAAATACCAAACATATAAAGTGATGACATAAAATTGATCCCAAATAAAGTGCAATACAAATCCCTCACAGTCCCAGTGGGGGACATATATAGTGATTTAATTAAGAAGTACACTATTCTAACTAAAAGTGACTTGTGTTAATAACAAATATCAATATTTAGGTGAAATAACTAACGATATAGTCCATCATTGTGCAAAAAATGCAACTATTTTCAGTGCTTGTGCGACACTCAGGTGAAACACATATCCATAAGTGGCCAAAGTGCCTCCTCACCTCCTTACCGCGACCACTAAGGGCCTCAAAGCTTTATACAGCATCCAATTCCACACCATGCGGCATCACATATAACTGAATCCAATAGTTCCACTTAATCTCACCTCTGGATCTCCCCTCAAATGGTGGTCCCCGCAGTATAGCTCATAGGTACATACCATTAAACCAGGGCAATAAAAAAATAAGCAGAAGAGACCTCCATAGTGTAACTCTATTTTATTATATCAAATGCCAAAAATAGAGTCGCCAAGTGAACACTCACAGTTTTGTAGATTTCATATCAGCAGTTTTCCCACATACTATGGGTGTATTGCAAGGCTTTCAGTGTAGTAAAATGGCGTCTACCGGAAGTGCGTCTACCGGAAGTGCTTCACAGCGTTCTATGCCTTACGTCACAATTGGCATGTGACTTCCTCAGGAACAGCACCATTGATGACTTGCTCTTCTTGTTCAAACAATTTTATTAACAATAAACGGGGATGACACAAACAAGGAGACATTGTTAATACATATTAGGCATTGATGTGACAGTAGGATACAATAAAATGAATGAGGGTCAAGGCATTAACGCCTATACATTTCTAACTGAAACAGGTAAATAGAAATCAATGACAGAATGCAAGATGGTATCAGTCAATCATGGTAATGTCTCCCAAGTGCATTAAAGAAATAGGGGGAATTCTGGAGGTGGTCAGACAGGGGCGGAAGGGGGGGGGAAGGGGAAGAAGAACAACAAAAATGACTCCATGAATATTCATCAAGTTCACAACAGCCTCTACGCGCTATGCACGAGGGGTTATGTACCATATCCTTGTCGTACAGTACTGAACTCAAGGGAGAAGCAGTGACTCGTCAAAGTTAGACGGAAGGAAATGCTCTACCCAAGGGCTCCATATGCGCAGGAATTTAGGGATCGTGTCAAGAACTGTGGCTTCCACCTTTGCGTGTATCATGGCTTGAGTTATTCTGGTTTTGACAGCCGCGACACTAAGAGTAGGGGATTTCCAAGACTTTGCTATAACCTGTTTAGCCGCTGTCGTGACTTGCATAAACAGCTTAAATTGCGAGTTGGAGATGCCAGAAGGGCATTGGTTGAGTAGGGCTGTCGTTGGGTCTGGCTGTATAGTGATAGTGCTAAATGTAGATATCATGGTAAAAATTTCATCCCAAAAGGTTCGGGCTACAGGACAGTCCCACCATATATATGGTAATGTGTTCCCAGATCC